GAAAGGTAACCACTCAAATTTGCCGACATCGAAAATATCGGATTTCCGTCGGTAGTCCGTCGGAAAGTCGTCAGAATATTACGACAGATTATTTTCCGTCGGAAATCCGTCGTTCGTACCGACGGATTTCCGACGGAATACCGACGGTWTWWWAAACCGTCGGTATTCCGTCGGAATTTTGCGACGGAATACCGACGGACTAAATGTTGGTCGGAAATCCGTCGGTAAGCCGTCGGAAAATTCCGACGGAAATATTGGCCGTCGGAATTTCCGTCGGAATAGTGGCTGTTTTCTTGTAGTGAAAGAATGTTGTATATATTAATGAAAATTTATACATGATAAAAAAAAATATGTACTATTAAGATTCAAGAGTGTTTAAAGTTTGGCGAATATAGATTTCTATGAGAAATAAACTAATGACATCAATGGTAAATATTTATCAAACATGGATTTATATGTGATGCTTGATAAAACTGTTTAAAAAATATTATATAGGTTTTTATGAGATTAGTCACATGAAATTTATTTTTCTAATTTAACTCTATAATATTTGAACTGTTTTTACGGTTCCATTACATAATTAATATATACTCCTTCGGTTTGTTTTTAAGTGAAGTTGAAGAAAAAAAAAATGTTATACCCATTGTCTATGCCATCAAAGCCCATATCATGTGCAGCTTATTCAGCTTATTACTCTACACTGCCGAAGATCTCAAGCAAGATGGCCAAACTAGTTTGGTGGGTCTTGTACATTTTACCATTCATGGTTATTAACCTTTTCTCTATGGTGTTTGGCACATACCTCTGTTGATAGAGCCCTGGTGAGGATCTATATATGCTCCAAAGAACTCACTTCGTTAGGTTATGACACGATCGATTGCGGATCGAATGAAATGGTGCGGTAGCGATGCGGTAGTGATGCAGTGAGGTTCGTTTCGAGGCAGCGGATTACTCGAAAGAACTTGATAGTAACGGATCTATGGATTGAGTGAATGAAAGATGAAGGTGATCGAAATGAAGATGAACGGTCAC